TAAATTCTCCTATTATTCTATTGTTAATTGTTATATATCTATATTTATTATAGGAATTATTTTATAAGCTCAAAAGGCAGAGAAAACCCATAATAGGGTGTTTGTGAGCTGGGGAAACAATTGAAAGATGATGAAGCAGCGAGCCTAGTGTAGATCCAGTCTGAAGCCAGAAGGGGGCCATTGGACGACTCTGAAAGTTGGTGTTGTCCTAGTCCAAGACCAGGAGGGGGTCTTCAGGAGGCCACAAGCCCATGCACTCTCTAGCAGCCGCTGATAGGAGTCTGGAGTCCAAGACTTAAAGTCTGGATGACTGGAGGGATGTAGGACAAGTAGCCAGCAGGAACAAATGCTGCCAAATGTCAGGTAGAGGAGCAGGGATAGAGCAAGCAAATGTGTAGGAGTAGAACACATAGCACAAGGAAGCATCTGGGGTGGGCAGTTAACAGGACTCTACTTTTTCTGTTTGTCCCTTCCACGCTCCCAGTTAAATAGATGGTGCCAGCCTTCATTAATGGTAGGTCACCCGTTCTCAGTCCACTGACTCACTTGCTAATTTTGTCTGACATCTCTCTTACAGGCAGACTTAGAAACAACTTTCCAAGCATTCTTCAATTCAGTCAAACTGACACCCAAAATTAACCATCACAAGTACTTTATCACTATCTGATGACCTTTTTTCTCCTATAACAGGTTTTGATTTAAAGTCAACTCCTGTTCTCTGTTGCATTCTATTGCATAAATTATCTTCACTTTCAGCCTATGTAGGTCCTTGAAGCTAAAGTGAATCTCTTTTAGGCAACTTATTTTTTGATCTTTTTTCTTTCTATATCCATTCGACTACTCTCTATCTTTTGATAGGAGAATTCAATCATTTACATTTAAAGAAATTATTGATAGGTGTGTAATTACCACTGTTATTTTTTCCCTGCTTTGTAGCGTCTTTCTTCTATTTTTTCTGTCTTCCTTGTTTTTATTATTTTTAATAGTATAATTTGATTCCTTTTTAAATATCTTTTGTGTGCTTACTATAGTTTTTTAATTTGTCACATAAAACATGTGATAGTTTTAAGTCTCTTTTAATCTGATTACAATTTAACTTCAACAAAGTTTGTACTTAAACTTCCCTTTCCCCCATATGTAATGCTACTGATATCACAATTTACATCTTTTGTATGCTGTGACTCCATCTTTGTATTAAAGTATAGAAGTAGTTATTAGTGGCAACTATTAGAAGTAGTTATGAATGGCAAGTACAAAGCTTTTACATGTTCCTATGGTGTAATGACAGGTATAATTGACACTCACATCATGAAGATACTCTTGTGTCAGCAATTGTTCATGACAACTGGAAAGGGGCAACTGTGTCAATTACAGCCTGAGAGGAACATGGGAACCATGGACTCAGAATGCTCCTATAGAAGATATCGATCTTGGCAAGTGACCTAGATTAACATAAGTGCTAGATAAACCTAAGGGGAATATAAAATGGGTTGTAGAAGAGGAAGATAAGGAATGTGTCCTGGAAACAAGTATAAAAACCCGTTCACACCTATTTGATTTCCATTAATACTTCTGAATTTGAAGAATCAATGCTGGCATGAACTCTCATGGAGCATGAGTGTTTCTAAACATGGAAGATGGTGTATATTTGCTGCCTCATCACATTTCTCTGCACTTAATATTCTCAAGCATTTGGATTATTTTATTCTATAAGCTGCTGAGATCCTGTGCCTAAGAACTTTTCTTTGGATATCAAAAGTGCCTAACTTACCATGTGGGAAAACCTGGAATGATGATGGACTTAAAGCCCCAGAGCTACTCTAGACTCATGAGTACACAGCTTAAATGTTGTTTACCTGGATTTCCTCTTTTTTCACCTTCCCCCACCCCATTTCCCAATTCCTCTCCCACTGTCTCCAGTATCACCATTGCTCTCCATGCTTTTATACCTTCCAATCTTTCAGTTTATTTATTTATTTTTTACTTAAAAGCTTGTTAGGAAAATGTACATGACCTGATTTTTATATCATAGTAAAACAGGCCCGTTTGTGAGGGGACATGGGTTTTTCTGTTGAACAGCCATTATGTATACTTGTTCCAAGGCTTCTAACATAATAATGATACTATTTCCTTGTATTACCACCACTCCAATATTGTTCTGTTGCCTACTAGTTGCCTTCTCCACACATTTATCTATCACAAGATTCATAAGTGAATCAAATCCCTGTAATATTCTTTGGACATGCCTGCAACCGTTTAATTTCCGTGATAACTTCTTGTCCATGATTATTTTCAATTCAGCAGGGTGAGCTTTGCTCTCCTACTCGGTGGGCTCAGAGATGCTTTTGAATGCAATTCTCCCAATCTTTCAGTTTCTGCCAGAGTGCTGACATTATATGTTTGTGTATATATATATGAGTGCATACATGCATATATATGTATATATATATATATATATACACACACACACACATACATATACATATATATATATATATATTTTTTTTTTTTTGAGTAGGGACATACAATGCCTCTCTTTCATAGCGTGGCTCACTTCACTTAACAGTAAATCTTCCATATTTATCCACTTTCTATCAAAAGCTAGGGTCCCCATTTTTATATCTGACTAGTATTCTATAGTGTATATGTTCCATGATCTGTTCATGGACATTTGCGTTGGTACATGTCTTAACAATTGTGAGTAATGCTATAATAAACATGGATGTGCAGGACCAGCAGTTGGAGTAATGGGTATGTCACTAGACTCCCATGTAGTTGACTGAGGTTTTAGTCCAGGACTCAGTGGCTTAAACTCACACTGGGCGTGCGTGCGTGCGTGTCCAAGAGCCCGAGAGGAGAATGAAGGAAGAGAAGAAGGGATTGTGGTGTGGCCATCGCCCCTGGGAGGTGATTTCTCGCTTTCTGTCTCTGTCTCTCTCTGTCTGGTGAGCACAGGCGACTTATAGCAAAAACCTCTCCAAAAAAAAAAATCCCCAAAAACAAAAAACCATGGATATGCAAATATTTTTCTGACTGTGTTTTCTTATCCTTTGTGTAGATACCCAGGAGTAGAATTGCTGGATCATATAATAGTTCTATTTATAGGCCTTTGAGGAAACTCTATATTGTTCTCCATGGTGGCTGTACTAAGTTACATAACCACATCAACAATGTAGGAGAGTTCCCCTTTCACCACAGCCTTGGTAGCACTTATCATTCTTTGTTTTTATAGTATTAACCATTCTGACTTGGGTTAGGTGATATCTCATTGTAGTTTTGATTTGTATCTCCTGTATGATCAAGGATGTTGAACATTTTTCTCATATGCTTTTTGGCCATTCATATGTCTTCCTTAGAGAGTTGTTTGTTCAACTCATTAGCCCATCTTTTAATTGGGTTGATTTTTTTTTTTTCTTGCGGGGGTAAGCTGTTTGAGTTCCCTGCATATTCTGCTTATCAGTCCCTAATCTGAGGCATACTTTGCAAATACATTTTCCCATCCAAGGGTTGTTGATTCACTTTAATTATTGTTTCTTTGCTGTGCAGTTTTTTTATTTGAAAAATTATTTAATTTAATTTTATTTAATTTGACCAGAGAGAGACAGAGAGAGAGAAAGTGAGAAAGCCAGCTGCCAGGTCCAGGACTTGAACTGCAGTTGGCCATGTGGGAGTCCAGTGGCCAAATATCATGTCACCAGCCAGTCCCAGTGAAGAAGCTTTTTAACTTGATATAATCCCATTTATCAATTTTTGGAATTATTTAAGAATTCTTTGTGGGACTAGCATATAGCAAAATGGTTATGTCACTGGACTTCCATACCATGGTTTGAGTCCTGGACCTGGTGGCTTAAAACTCATGCTGAATATGTATGTGTGCATGAACAAAATCCAGAAAAAATAATGGAGGAGAAAGGATTTTGGTATGGTCATCCCCTGTATGTGTCTGTGTGGGGGTGATTTCTTGCTTTCTCTCTCTCTCTCTCTGTCTCTGTGTCTCTTTGGCAAGTGCATGCTCCCTATAGCAAAAATCTATCTTAAAAAGTCTTCACCTACCATGTCTCTAAAAGTTCCCCCTGTGTTTTCCACCAGTAGTTTTATAAATCTGAGGTCTTAAGCTTAGATCTTTGATTCATTTTGAATTAATTTTTGTTAATGGTGAGAGATATGAATCCAGTTTCATCTTTCTGCAGGTGGATATACAGTTTTCTTGGCACCATTTGCTAAAGAGGTTTTCTTTTCCCCACCGTTGATTATAGTGTATATGGGTGTCTTCGACTGAACAAATATACAGAGTATTCATGATGGGAAAATTCATTTGGTATGCTGTAATGATACACAGTGATTGTAAAAAGAAAAAAAAAAGAGAAATACATAGCTTCCTTGCTTCCCAAGTAGGACAGCTATAAACCATAGAGTTTATATAGTCTCTTAGACAGGATTGTATAAGGTTGTCCATAGACAGGATTGTATAAGGTTGTCCACAGCTGTAAGATAGAAATTAATACCTACTGTTGACATCCTTTCCTTCCCTGATTCACTTCTACACATCTAAACCAGTGTCTTCTAGAATTATCTTCCAATGAACTAGTTGCACTCAAATTTTTTTCTTTGAGTCTTCTTTAAAATAAGTGAAACAATTGACTCTAAAGATATGATAGTTTAATGTGATTTTTCTTGACATTCACTATAACAAAATTATAGCTTATTTTTAGGCCTTATGAATAAAGGAAATAATATCATTATATCCTTTTTTCTGTGCAAAGTATCCAAATTTTAATATTAAAATGTCCTTTGGTAGATCATGCTTTCCTCTGAGTTCTTACTTCTATGGATTTTTGTTTTCCATGACAGTAATGGTAATGACTCCACACTTCACAAATGAAGCAGTGGCAGGTTTAGGATTGCAGAGATGCAGTTGTTCTGTTTATGTCAGATCTGAAGGGGAGATGAGCCAATGTGTAGTTGGTTGTATAGCTTTAAAACTCCAAAAAGCCACGTGGTCAACAAAATATGGAATAAGGTCTCTTTTTGAGTAGTCTTTTTATTGCTACCCTTATGTCTTTGTTCCTTAGTGTATAGATGACAGGATTCAAAACAGGAGTAATAGCAAAGTCCACAATGAACAGATTTTTATCAAGTGATGGTGGAGGAGAAGGCCAGGCATACAGAAACACACATGGAGTGAAAAACAAAAAAACCACAGTGATGTGAGCTGATAAAGTGACAAAGGCCTTGGATAAGTCTCCTGAAGAACGTTTCCAGACAGTGATTAAAATAAAGGCATAGGAAAGGATAAGCAGGATGAAGGTGCCCGTGCTCATGAAGCCACTGTTGGCAGTAACTATAAACTCATACTTGGCGCTATCTGTGCATGCAAGTTTTATGATCTTGGGAAAGTCACAATAAAAGCTGTCTACTTTATTAGGCCCACAGAAAGGCAAGTTTATTACAAAACCAAATTGAGACATAGCATGGATCACCCCAGTTACCCAACCAGTGAGTACAAATGAAAGACATGTTTTAGGGTTCATGATTTTCAAGTAGTGAAGAGGCTTACAGATTGCTGCACATCTGTCAAACGCCATGGCAATGAGTAACACCATTTCCACCCCTCCCATGATGTGGATGAAGCATATCTGTGTCATACAGTTTTGGAAAGAAATGACATTGTATTCATTTAGAAGATCTGTGATTATCTTGGGAATCGTTGTAGAGGAAAGGCCCACGTCAATAAGTGACAAGTTAGCTAGGAGGAAGTACATAGGAGATTGTAAACGAGAATCAAAAATTACCAAAAACAAAATGAGAAGGTTTCCTAGGATTATCCCTAAATAAAACAAAGTACATATCAAGATGAGAAAAATTTTTTTCTCTCTGGAACAAGAAAGAGCCAGTAACACAAGTTCAGTGACCACAGAGTCGTTTAGTCCACCCATTGACTGGGACAGGAGAGTTGATTTCAAGTGATCTGAGGATAAGAATGAAAAGGAATAACTATCATTAAAATGTCCATAGATTACTTTCCCCCCCTCCTGATATTTAAGATAAATCATTGGGAGTAGTAAAATGGAGAATATGGAAGAAATTAGATGACAATAATAAACAAAATTCTTTAAAAAAATGTGACTGCCAATTTTGTAAACAGAACCATCTCATGGCCAAACTAATTTTTTTCTTTCTTTAAAATATCTCTGAATCATTTCCCATGCCTCTTCCTTAGCTGTTCTTCCACCAAAATAAATGTTGTTTTTCTTGTCACATCACTATTAATAGTCTAAAATAAATTGTATATTCTCTTACTTGCACTCATCTTAACCCTTTAATATCTTTTTAGTTCACTCGGTTCATAGATCTCATCAGGCAAAAATGCTTTAAAACATCCCATGGCTCCTTACCTTGGGTCTGTAAAATTCAAATGAAACTCAGGTGTACAGGACTTAAGAGTTTTAATACGTGGTTCGTGACATGATATCATCTCTGGTATTTGAGCATTTTTAATTAGTGAATTAATTAATGGCAATTAAAATGAAATGATTAGATATTTGAGAGTAAAGTATAGTAAAGATCACAATGATAATCAAAGATATCAACTGATAAATAATGACAATAATCACAGGTAACATTTATTATGTTCCTCCTACCTTTAGGACATTGAGTTAAGCATATTATCTCTTTTAATCCTGATGACTTCATAAGAGGTTCTGTTTTATTACCCTTATATTACGAAGGAAGAAACTACACTTGAGAAACAGCCTTGGGAAAGTGGAGTGGCAGAGCTAGGATCTGTATTTAGAGGTTATAGAACTTCAGAGGACATGTTCCTAACGTGGCACTGTGTTCAAGGCCCGCCGTTCCAGGATCTCCCTCCCTCTCTCTCTCTCTCTCTCTCTCTTTTAAGACAAGAGTTCACTCTCTTATCATTCTCCTGCCTTAGCTTCCAAGTAGCTAGGACTACAGGTACATGACACCATGACTTTTGAAGGTGGGTAAGGAATCGAACCCTGGGGCTTGCACGTGACCTCAGCCTACTGAACAGCAGTGTCTTTACCAGTGGCGAAATAACCACACATCTCCAGGAAATCTTTTTAGAGAAGTGTTAAGGGATATAGCACATTATTGTCCCACATAAAAATATCGCATACAATAATCACTTTTCTGTAATTAACTACTTATTCTCCAAACTTAATACTACTGAGAGGGTCTTTATTTTTGAAATTTATTTTGCTATTGACTGTGAGACACGTTGCCCATCTCAGTCTTGTTTTATCCCTATTTCTTCCCAACAGAACATCTGTCTGTTTCGTACTTGGTAGAGAGTCCTCCGTTTTGGGGAAGGATACGCACCTATTCTAGCTAGACACATTATAGTCTACTTTTACTTGGCCGTGATTGGTATCTAATAATGTAGATATGACTAATGAGCTGTAAAGCAGTGTTTTTTGTGAAAAAGTTTCTTTTCCAAATTAACAAAGTATCTTTGAGAAGGCTTTTGTTCCAGGGCACTTTATACCTGTGTTCAGTATTAACGTGATGCTTATGGGTGCAACAACCTTGAGTGCGGAAAGCCTATGTGCTAAAGACAGTAATGTGAAGAAATGGTAAAAGAATCCTGTCTCTTGGAGGTCTCTGATGCTAGCAGGGCCTCCCCTTCTGAAGTCTGGAATTGGAAAAAAATCAACTCTGTTTGATTAAGAGAATAAATAGGGCAGTGATGCTTGCAACTGCATTTCCAGCATTTGTTTAATTGCACACTTAACTTTTCTGCTATATTTCTGGCTACTTCTTCATTTCTTTCATTGACACATGAGTTGTTTTTCTTCTACTGAGCCTTGGTTGTTGATGTGACTTAGGTGTCAATCCCAAATATATATATATATATATACACACATATATATATATATATATATTTATTTATTTATATAAAATTTCAGTATATATATAAATTATAAATTCTCTATAAATTATATTTTAAAAATATTCATCATATTTATATTTTATATAATGCATATTATACACACACACACATATATAAGTGTGTGTGTGTATACATTTGTAATATCTCTGGAATCCACTTAATATATTTAAAACTCTACTATAAATGGACATATCACCAATAGCTCAAAGCTAAAATGTCCAAGGTTGATCTTATTATTTACCATCTATTTAAATCTTTAAAAAATATCATAACCATTTTCTTAGATATTCAGTCCAGAAATTTATTTTTATATATTTTTTTTTGCCATGAAGTATGTAAGCTCACTAGAGAGAGAAAGAGAGAAGGAAAGTGAGAAATCAATCCTCCCTCTCCAGGGGGAGGACCACATGACAATCCTTTCTCCATGCTCCTTGGAATTCTGGTCATGCAAGCATACTCACCTGGTTTGAATATCAAGCCACCAGATCTGTGACTCAAACTATGGTCGGCCATGTGAGAATCCAGTGCCTTAACCTTCACACCACCTGCTGGTCCCAGTCCAGAAATTTATGTGACACTTGTGTCTCCTGTTTCACTTTTTATGCCAGATGGACAAGTATTCATTCTAAATATTTTTCAGATTTGTTTCCACTTTCACTGTCAGTCCTTACTTCATGTCTTTATATTTTCTCATATCCTTCTGAATGATCTCTATTTTTAGTCTTACATAATTTTAGTACACTCTATTTTCAATCATTCTATACTCATTTCCAAATCACTCTATATGAAGATCAAATGTAGTCATGTTGCTCTCTTATTTAATATTTTGGTTTCATCAGAAAGAATATTAGAATTTAATAGTACACATAATGCACAAGACCCTTCATGACTTTAGTATAGTTTTTTTTTTTTTTTTCATCTTTCTTTTTGAGTATATGCTCTAACTGGTGTTATTTCTGGCCATTTTGAAGAGGAATTGACTTTAAGGCCCAGTAGACTTTGGTTGTCATCCCACTCTACCACTTCAGAGCTCTATACACTTGAGTTGACTGCTGAATGATGCTGATAGTGTCCATTTGTCTGTAATGTTTAAGAAGTATAAATATACCCCTTGATGCTATGAGTATGTGACATGATATATGCCAAATTATCTGGGACACGTTACTCTTTTTCCTTTCATCCTTCAAGACATACATCAAATACCATTTCCTCTGAAATACTCATTGGAGACCCCAAGCAGAGTACATAACTGATTTCTATCAACTATTGTTATACCTTGTACATTCTTCATAAAATATATATTATAAATTTTTGCATGTTACCACCTCAGTTTTAAAAACTGTTATAGGGTGCATGTGCTCACCAGAGACAGAGAGAGAAAGAGGGAAATTGAGAAAGCATCTCTTGAGGGGAATGACCACACTGCAATCTCTTCTTCTCCATTCTCCACTTGGAATTTTGGGCATGCATAAACACATTCTGGTGTGTTTTTCAAGCTGCTGGTTCCAGGACTCAAACTGCATGGTTGACCATGTGGAATCTAGCCCCTTAATCACTGGGCCACCTAGCTGGGACCCTCATTTTGGACTATGATCTCTTTAGGAAAAAAAGGAAGCTGTTGGTGAACTTTGTATACCAGAATGCTTAGCTTGATTTCTAGCACATGTAGGCATTCACACATACATTAACATTTAAGAACACATACTAAATGAAATCAGGGTCCTAGAAGCCCCTACAGAAAATTTGGTACAGAGTAAACTGAGAATCAGACCTAAAGAGAGTCACACTCTGACAGAGGAACAGAAATTAATCTGGAAGTCAGTGACTTCCCTCTCCTGACTGTCCTCTGTGAGAGACCTTAGCAGCCCACATTCCCAGCTAGAAACTAATCTAATGAAATAAAACTAGAAAAAGTTTTTTATTTTCTTTCTGTGTGTGTGTGTTCTCCTTGAACAACACATGTAGAGAAATTACAAAATATCTGGAATTTTCCTGCAATTATAGTCGGGTATTAAGACAAACAACGGGCCAGCAGATGGCATAGTGGTAAGGTGCTGAACTCCCACATGGTTGACCGTGCTTTGAGTCCTAGAACTGGTGGCTCGAAACTCATGCCGGGTGCAAGTGTGTGTGTGTGTTCTGAGAGGTGAATGGAGGTGAAAGAATTGCTGTGTGGCTATCTCCCTTGGGGAAAGGTGATTTCTCACTTTCCTCTCTCTCTCTCCCTGGTGCACACGTGTACTATTACAAAAGCCTAAATAAAAAGATAAGCTATTTTATATAAGTATTTCAGAATAGGAAAATGTTATCAGATGTTTAGAAAGATTCAATCATTCAAAGGAACAGTACAGTTTTATATTCAGAGTCACTAAAAATAGTGATTTGCTACACGAACAAGAGAACTTTTAAATAGGCCTATTTATGACACAAGATTTTTTTTTTTTTTGAGAGGGAGAAAATGAGAGAGAGATTTCTGACAAGGCCTTGCTGTGTTGCAATCCTTCTGCCTCAGCCTCCAGTAGTTTGGACCACAGGCTTTTCCTCCCGCGAACTATCTTAA